CTATCCATAGCCACCCTTCTTCCTTACAAAGGTTTCAGCAGTTGCTTAAGTGATTGGCTTCTTAGTTCTGGTGACTTTTCTTGTCCTATGTTTATCCCAGAGTGTCAGTGAGCACTGTGATCCATCAGCAGTGTTTGTTTGCTTTTGTAACGGTAACATCGAAGCTACTACTAACTTACTAACGCTGTTTTACAGAAGATGTTCTTGCACCTGTGGCTCAACAGTGCCATCATTCAGTCTTGAGTTTAGCTAGAGTCTTTTGGTTCTGCCCTGTCATTCCATTTATTTTTTCCCTGAGAGCAGTAACAAACCTTGTTTCTCTCCCAAAAGATCATGGGGTCCTTCAGAGTGAAGAGGAGTAATTCTGAGAGTCCTTAATAGTAAGCAGGACTCTCAGCCTTTCAGTTATCACACTTCCTTGTTTAATCCTCTTTTCCCTTGCTGTCGGAATGAAATCAAAGCCCTTACCAAGGCCCTTAAGGTCCCACATGCAGACCTCTCCCTTCTCTTTAACCTCATTTCCTAACACCCTTCTGCTTATTTAGCCACTGGCTTTTCTGGCCCTTTGCCCCCAGTTTACTCATGCCTTAGTCCGTTTCTATCTCCTATTTCTTTCCAAAACACTTCATTGAGACGGTCACTTAGTTGAACCTACATCATTCAGTCTACAGCTCAAATTTGCCTCCTCAGTTTTTCTCTCATTGCATTAACTGAGCCCTCTCCCCTAGCACTCTGTGTCATTAGCCAACTAAAGTGTAGTATAACATGATTAAGGATACAGGGTCTGGAGCTGGTTTGAATCCTGGCTCTTCCACTTACTACCTCTATAACCCTGGGCAACTAACTTACCTCTCTGTATCTTTTTCATATTTATATAATGGGGCTGGACATGGTGTCTATCTTTTATATATCTTTATATCTTTACTGTGAAGGTACCTTTATATCTTTATTGTGAAGATTACATGAGTTAATGCATTTAAGGCACCTATAAATATTAAGGTATACATTAGAAAGATACATATTAAGTCTCAAGAAATGTTAGCTGTAATTATTAGACACTAGTAAATTGCACTGTAAGAAACTGATCCTTGCTCTGGTCTTGTGGGTAAGATGTAACTTCCTAAATAATAGCCTAAAAATGTGATGAATATTGTGGTGGGATAATACATGGAAGTATGGAGTTGGTTGCACGTGTTGTAATTAATTAGCATATTATTTTATATTTTTTGCTGAAGAGTTGGCATTAGCTAAGCTCTTCTCTGACATCTCTTGAAGTTAGTGTTTTTTTCTTTAGCTCATGGTAAGTGGAGTGAGTGAGTGAGATGAGAGTGGTGCTATTTCAGGTGAGGAAAGTTAACGGAGGTTTTCAATATGATGATATTTGAGCAGAGGCTTAAAGTATGTGGTAGAATAACACAGAAAGAACAGCAAGTGGGAAGTGTCTAAGTGCAAGGGTGCTTAATGTGTTGAAATATCAGAAATAAGGCTATGTAATTGTAATTGTAAAAAGTGGGAAAACTATAAATGATAGAATCAGAGAAGGGGTTAGGATCCAGATGATGCAAAGCCTTTATAATCTTTACACTATGTAAGATGGAAGCCATTAGAGGATTTTGAGTAGAGGAGTAAGATGATAGATTTATGTTTTAATGGAATCACTCTTGTTGCTGTGTTAAGAATAAATTGTAGGCATAAGTGGAGGATCTTAGCATAGTCCAGGTAAGAGATGGTGGTGACCCATGTGAGGATGTGGTCTCGGGAAGTGGTGATTATGGATATATTTGGAAGGATTTGCTGATGGGTTGAGTAATCGTGGATTATGAAGAAAAAGTGGAGTGATCAAGAATGCCTTCCAGATTTTGGATGTGAGCCTCTGGTAAAATAGAGCAATTTTATACTAAGATAGTAAAGACTAAAGGGAAAAGAAGATTTGGGGCAGGGGTAGAGGTAGTGTTTTGGACAAGATAATTTTGGGATACCTATTAGGCATGCAAGTGGTTGATGTTGAATAGACAATTGGGAAATAAGTTTGGAATGAGTGTAGGAATTCAGGGCTGGAGATTTGGTTATCATCAGCATATGGGTGGTAATTAAAGCCATTGGATTGGATTGCATAATCTAGAGAGTGTTTGTAAGTTAGGAAGTCATTTCTCAACAATTCCATAATGTAAATTCAACCTTGCATACTAAAAAATTTCTTTGTGTACTGAAATAGTACAAAACAATGTTCTCATGTAGTCCATTACTTCCAAATACTGTTATTTATGGGAGTTTTTTATGAATGTCCAATAGATGAATGTCTTCAAGATAAAGAACTGATCTTTTTGAATTGCAGAGTAAAGATAAATAACTTTAAAAAGCAATTATTAAAAGAGTCAGTACTAGTAATACACAATTCTGGTTCTTAAATCTTACTGTTTCATTGGGGACAAAAATTACTGTAAACAAATTATGGCCAATACACTAGGTTTTTGGTTTTTTTTTTTTTTTTAGTGTGTATTTATTTTTGGATGTTTGACTGAGCCACCCAGGCGCCCCAGTACACTTTTTACAAGTGAATACTAGTGAACTTTTTTAGTTTCTGATAAGTGCTCCATGTATAAACATCACCATGAAGATTAATTTT